TTCAAACACCTGTGGAAGCAGGTAGCCCAGAATCTGGACCGGTTCCGGACCTTCCCACGCCTGGCGGGAGGTGAGTCCCCTTCCCTGCACCTCCCCGGTGGCCCTAGGGACCCCTCCCCAGTTATCATGGAAGAGGAGATGGTGGAGGTGATGCTGTAGGTCCCGCGGCCCTATGGGAGCCAAGAACTGGGGGTCCTTAGGGACAGAGCCTCTGCCCTCCCAGGGGGCCATGCAGCGAGTGCACTTAGACCTCAGGATGTGCATTTGTTCATTCATTCATTCAACAGATTAGGAAGTGCCCACCCAGGTGTTGTTTTGCTCATGGGGCTGCAATATGACACGCCACACACAGCCCCTGCCTTCATGGACTTACATTCCAGTAGTCAAGGCAGACAATGAATAAATAGATGAGATAATGTCAGTAGTGACAAGGGCTCTGAAGAAATAAAGGTGGGAAAAGAGGTCAGAGGTCAAGACCAGAGGGGTGGGTGTGGCAGCTTAGGGTGGCCAGGGTGGCCTCTTCAAGGAGCCCACCTTTGAGCTGAGACCTGAAGGATGAAAAGCAGCCAACCATACAAAATCTGGGGACGAACCGTCTCGGGCACCAGCACTGTCCACTAGAACTTTCCATGATGATGGAAGCATTCCCAATCCGTACTGTCCAATATGGCAGCCACATGTGGCTCTTGAGCACTTGAAATGTGGTCAGTGTGACTGAGGAAGTAACATTTTTTTTTTTCATTTAATTTTAATTAAATAACAACTTGTGGCCAGTGGCTACTGTATCAGACAGCACGGGTCCAGACGGAGGGAACTATAGATGCAGAGGTCATGAGGTAGGAATGAGCTTATATTTGAAGTAAAGTAAGAACGCCAGTGTTGTGTAGGATTTTATCTTAGAAAATTAATAGAGGTTTGACATGCATAAACTCGTTTTGTTTTTTGCAAGGTAGTCATGGCAAGGCACACAGATGATACCTCACAACATTCATTTAGAACTAGAGAATCAGCATTAACAAGTACAGTTGCAATGTTAGTTCAATGATTAGAGTCCAAATCTTTAGACTTCCGGCTTTTACTGTTAACCAGAGGTCTCGGGAGGAAGGCCTAACCACAGCTGGAACTCAGCGGAGGTCCCTCGTAGCTAGGGTCCAAGGTCGGCGGCAGCGGACAGAATCTCATTTCCATCTCAGCCTTCTTTCAGTGAGTGAGCAGAAATTTAGGGTTTATATGTGAATTTGTCACCTTGGCGCCACACAAGGAGGGCCAGTGGGACGTCAAAGAGTAGTATGTTATGTCTTTTCTCCAGTGTTAGTAGCTGAATGAAGCATCTTCTAGTCAAGGTTAGAAATTAGGGAGGTTATTTAGCTTTATGTTTTCTTGCGTCACAGCATTCCAGGTCAAAGTGAGCTTAAAGGTTGTTTATGTTCTTTACATACGTCACCTGCATCTATGTCTAAGTTAAGAAATTTTCTAAATAACCTTCTTAGGACTTGCAGGTTTCTAATGACTTATAGTTAATGTTGGCCTCACAAAGGTAGACATGTTTCTATTTCTAAATTCATATTATGAGTGATTATGCATCTGTATTTTGAAAGCGTAATAATGGCTTAGCTTATGGGATTTGAGGGCATTATAGAAACATACAGAACAGCCAATGTAGCTGGAGTAGTGAGGGAGGACATGGTGGTAGGACATGGAGCCGAGAGGTCGTCAGGGGCCAGATCTTGTTGAAATACTAATAATTTTCTCACGAAGATATAGTTTCATGGTCAAGGAAATTTGGCATGTGCTGCGTTAAAGAACAAAGCAAAACTGATTCCTGCAGGACTTCTCAGAGCCTTTAATGCTTGAGTATGCGCTGTGTATCTTGAGGAGCAAGGGCTGGTATGCAATGTTTCCCAAACTCATTAGGCCACGGAACCCTGTTTTTCAGAGGCCCTGTGGACCAAGAGTATGTGGGATGTGCTCTGGGAAAGTGCCCTGGTGCAAAGCCCTTGTTTTCTGGACAGGAAGGCTAAGGCCTGGAGAGGGGACGGGCTTGCCCAGGGTCAGACAGCACATTAACAGCAGAGCTGGGGCTGGCAGTTCAGCGTTCTTGTCCCTGGGGGAGGTAGAGCCCATGGGGTGACTGAACCCCCTTCCTGAGCTCTTGGGAGCTTTGATGGGGGTATCAGGGAAGGTGAACCCTCCTCAGGACGAGCTGTAGCATTTCCAACTTTCAGCCTTCTGATGCACTCTGATCTGACTTTTCAAGATAGAGAACAATCAGCCCCTTCATGGAGCTGTCCTTGGTTTTCTACTCTCAGGGTCTCCTTCCCACCTCCTCCCTGAGGCTTTGAGAGAGCCCATTGTTTACTCCCAGCTGGACAACCTTGGGCACGTGATATAATTCCTCTGCCTCAGTTTTCTCATCTTTAAAACGGGACTGATGACAGGAGGTTATTGTGAGGCTTCAGTATGACAAAGCACACGAAGTCCTCTGAGCGGAGTCTGGCACTGGGAAGTGCTTTGTAACCGTGAGCAGCTGTTAGCTGATATTTTAACTGAGTCAGGAAACTGAGGCCCCAAAGGTGAAGTGACTTGCCCGAGACCCCCTCATGCTAAGGAAGCTGGGGAGTGGTTTCCCACCATGGTAGAGAGGGAGGGGCCCAACCCTGGCAGTTGACATGGGATGGAACCTCCCCCCTTGGCCAGGAAAGCTTGCCCACTTCTACAAGTAGAGAGGGCATAGGATTGGCTGTTGGGAGCCTTGGATTCTGGTCCCTCCTCTGCCTTTATGTTGAGCAGCCCATCCCACCCCAGGTCTCAGTTTTCTCATCTGTGTGATGGGGGAGTTGGATCCAGTGACCTCTGACGCCCTTTACCCTTGCCTGGGCCTCTGTTTCCTGTCTGTAGAGTGGGGCGTGGACCTGGCTGATCACTTTCTGGCGTTTTGTCCAGCTCCAGTTCTGTGCCTTCTCCAGCCTTCACCCACGAAGTGCAGGGGACTGACCCTGGGGTCCCATGGACAGGAGTAGGCAGTGCTTGGGGTCCTGGGCTGGCCGGTGGAGCTGGCTTCTGCAGTCACTCCCCACCCCTTGCCCCCGCAGAGTGTGGTGGGAAGAACTTCCACTTTGTCCACTGCTCGGCTGACGTGGACAGCGTGGTGAGCGGGACCCTGCGCTCGGCCTTCGAGTATGGCGGCCAGAAGTGTTCTGCCTGCTCCCGCCTGTATGTGCCGAGCTCGCTGTGGCCGCGGATCAAAGGGCGGCTGCTGGAGGAGCACAGCAGGATCAAAGTGGGCGACGTGAGTGTCTCCCACCGGGCCCAGTGGGGGGCTGATGGGATTGGGCAGCTTAGTGATGAGAGCTGGGCCCCCGGAGAGGCCTGTGCGGGCGGGGCTGGGGCTGCAGGGAGGCGGCCTTTGTCTCCAGCCTGCGGTGACTCGTCTCTTCTGGTGTCTCCCTTGCCTCCAGCCTGCAGCGGATTTTGGGACCTTCTTCTCTGCAGTGATTGATGCCAAGGTACAGGGCGAGAAGCAGGATGTTTCTGGGACCTGGGTCCTGGACTGGGGAGAGGAGAGGGAGGAAGAGATGGGGATCCCTGACCCGGGGGCAGCCCAGCCCCGCTGCTTTGAGCAGGGCAGCTCTGTAGCCACCCACCCCCACCCCACACACACACGGACACACAAACACAGAGACACGCACACACAGAGCTTTGAACAGGGCAGAATCATCCATAACCAGAGAAGCACTCATCTCCTACACACCCTGAAAGACTCAAGAAGCCTTTGTTAAATGCGTAGTATGTACACACACACATATACTCATGTATGCACATGCAAATAGGCACACACATCTGCATCCATGAGCCTGAATGCACATGTGCATGTACACATTCATGTATAGCTGTGTGTGTAGACACACATGTAGGTCTACCCACAGAAACACAAATCGCATCCATAGGCACATAGGCACACACATACCTACGTACATAAACATAGACACACACGTATACATGTGCACATGCATATCCATGTGCGTGCTTGTATATACGTAGGCGTGTATAGGTCCGCAGGCATGAACGTAAACACACACATATGCACATAGGCACACACATGCCTATTTGCTTAAACATAAAGAGACTTGGCCATGCATATACCCATATATAAATATAACATTTATAAAAATTATATAGTTATAAATTTATTGTGTATAAAACCAAACCAAACCCATTGCCATCGAGTCAGTTCTGACTCATAGCAACCCTATAGGACAGAGTAGAACTGCCCCATAGGGTTTCCAAGGAGCTGCTGGTGGATTTGAACTGCTGACCTTTTGATTAGCAACTGAATGCTTAATCACTGCACCACCAGGGCTTCATATTATGTATACAGTATAATAATTAAAATATATTTAAAATTCAAACATATGTAAATAAAATAGTTATATATATTATAGTGCCTGGGTGGTGCAAACGGTTAAGTGCTCGACTATTAGCCACAAGTTTGGCAGTTCAAACCCAACCAGCAGTGCCTCAGAAGACAGGCCTGGTGATTTGTTTCCAAAAGGTCAGCCTTGAAAACCCTATGGGGCAGTTCTACTCTGCATACATGGAGCTGCCATGAGTTGGAATCAACTCAACAGCAACTAACAAGAAGAAGATATTTTTTAAGTTGTAAATGCTTGTTCTCGGGTATAGTTTATTTAAGAACATTTGTTAACAGCACGTTTAAACAGTTCGGCAATACCACTTGAAAACAAAATTCTTGTTTGAAAAGCTGATTTGAAAACATGTAAGTAACATGTGAAACATGCCCTTGTCTCTGCCATGAGTCAGCCAGACCTGGTTTTGCCCTCACCACCCCATCCCACTGGCCACCCCGTTTCAGAAGTTGGATCCTTCAGGAATAGGGGTTTCGGGTGTGTGTTGGGGGTTTGCTGGAATGGTCTTGAAGCAGCCCTGACACTTCCTCCTTCCTGCCCACCCAGTCCTTTGGCCGCATCAAGAAGTGGCTAGAGCACGCCCGTTCCTCGCCCAGCCTCACCATCCTGGCTGGGGGCAAGTGTGATGACTCTGTGGGCTACTTTGTGGAACCCTGCATTGTCGAGAGCAAGGACCCTCAGGAGCCCATCATGAAGGAGGTGACTAGGCAGGCGAGGAGGGGGCTGGACGGGACTGGACGGGACCCAGCAGCCTGGAGCCCAGATGAGAACAGTCTTGTCAGAGCATAGCACACAGCCAGGCACTTTTCAGGTAGCATGGTCCTCATTTGACAGATGATGAGAGTGAGGCCCTGACAGGGGGATGTCTCATGCCCAGTGAGAGCAGGGCCAGGCATTGAGCTCAGGCCTTCAGATCCAGGGCTCTGTCCTGGACACTGTGGATCTCAGCTGTGTCACAGCCCTCCCACTGCCCATAGCACCCACAATGACTGCAGTGATAGTGGACTCACTATGGGCTGACCACAACTGGGCACTTGACTGAGATGAGGTGGTTGTGTCATCCCCATTTTATAGATGAGAAACTGAGGCAGAGAAGTCAAGGCACTTGTCTAGGTGACAGTGCAGGGGTGAGGGCTGCTGGGGGAGGAGGTCTTCTCCTAACCCCTTAAGGGATCAGGGACCATGAACCCTCCAGAGAGGGGTTCCTACACCAGCTGCTGCTGGAAGCCTCCTATTCCTGAGGGCCTGGGCCCTTTGCTCTCTGGGTATGGGCGTGGCTGCAGGGAAGGCCAGAACGTTCCCCTGGCTCTTTTGCCAGGTTTGGGTGGGGTGGGCAGGGCAGGGCGTGGGGATGCATTCCTGTCTCTGGAGGGAACTAGGAGGAAGTAACTACTGGTCCTTCTTGCAGATGCTGAGGTCTGGACTGAGGTCAGGGAACTAGAGGGTGGGAGAGACCTGAGCAGGGAGACTGGGAGGGCTCAGGGGCCTGGGCCAGGTGTGGACCTGACCCTGGGGCTTCTCTCCCAGGAGATCTTCGGGCCTGTGCTCACCGTGTATGTCTACCCGGATGATAAGTACAAGGAGACGCTCCAGCTGGTCGACAGCACCACCACCTACGGCCTCACGGGGGCAGTGTTCGCCCAGGATAAGTGAGTGGCCGGGCCACTGCAGCCCTGCTGTTCTAATTCTGATGTTCCTGTCCCTGCTGGTTCTTGTCCCCATCCCTCCCCTGAGACCCTGCTTAGGGGCTGTCCCGGCATTACTCTCACGGACTTGTTCCTAGTAGTGAAGCTGCCTGCCTGCTTTCTCTCCATTCCCTCTCACCTCAGCCCGGGCAGGCAGGCAGGCTGCCCAGCAAGGTATCCAGAGGCAGCAGCCAGCTGTTCGTTGAAAATACAGCGAGTGGCTAGCCAGTGTCACCTGTCCCAGGTTCCACCTAGTCCTTGACCCAGTGTGGGCTGCAGCAGGTATTGAGGGCTGGGAGGGGGAGGGAGGCTGGCTGCCTTCTAACCACTGCCCTGCCCCTGTAGGGACATTGTCCACGAGGCCACAAAGATGCTGAGGAATGCTGCCGGCAACTTCTATATCAACGACAAGTCCACTGGCTCGGTGGTCGGCCAGCAGCCCTTTGGGGGGGCCCGAGCCTCTGGTGAGTGGGTCGCCCTTCCCAGAGGGGAGCCAAGTTCCTAGCAGGAGACATGACTTCCTTCCTCTGAAGGATGTTAACAATAACAGGAATAGCACCATTTTCTGGGCACTTACTGGTGTGCCAGGTGCTGTGCTAGGCCCTTTACTCATGCTCTTTCAGTCCTCTCAACAACCTTGTGAGCTAAGGTTATTATCATCCTTCCCATTTTGCAGGGGAGGAAAGCGAGACACAAGGAGGGAAAGTGACTTGCTCAAGGTCACATGGCTAGGGAGCGATGACGCTGGGATTTTCATTCCAGCATCCACACTTTTTACCACCATGCTCGAGATCACTGAAGTCCAACTCCTTCTGTTTACAAATGGGGAAACTGAGACTCAGAAAGGGGCGGTGACTTGCCAAAGCTCACAGCTGCCCAGTGGCAGAGCCAGGGCTGGAACCCAGGTGTCCTGACACCCAGTCCACTCTTCCCCTGCCTCCCAGACCCTTGCTGATGGGATACGTGGAGCCTGGGAGTGTTGGCAACATGCCTGCCCATTGGTTCCTTCCTCAGCCGACCTGGGCTGTGTGCACTTGGCACAGATGTGCTCAGTAGCCCCTGGTTGTAAATGTTTAGTTCTAGCTGTGCTGGCCCTTCTCATCCCGGCAGGCTTGAGGCACATCCCTGCCTGCCATGTGCCGGCTCTCCTGTACATCCCTCTGATGTTTTTCTGGTGCCCCAAGCCAGGCATATGTGCAGGGCAAGCTTGCTGCCTGCTGCCCATCGCTTGTGCCACATTTATTCCATCACCTCCTCCCCACCCCTCTCCCTCCTGCCCAGAACCATTGAATCTTCAGAGAAACACAGAGCTGTCTTTTCAACAGGCACCAATGACAAGCCTGGGGGGCCACACTACATCCTGCGCTGGACGTCGCCCCAGGTCATCAAGGAGACCCACCAGCCTCTGGGAGACTGGCGCTACTCATACATGCAGTGAGCCCGCTCAGCGCCTCCTGACATCCACCTGTCTGTCCATCCAGACCACTGACTTCTGACTGCACTGGTCCTCCCTAGTCCCCAGCCCTTTCACCCAGCTCCTCCTGGGACAGCCCCCTTCCCAGCACCAAGGCCAGACCCCCCTGCCCCCTCCGGCCTATACTCTGGCCCTCCTGACCCACCACTCGGTGTCAGGGGCTTGGCTCGGATTTGAGTCATGTTGGGGAGGAACAGGGCTGCCACCCCTGACCCTGCCGGCCATTCTAGAAATTCCGTCTGGTAGGTAGGACCTTGGAGCCTGGCTGTTTATCTGTCTGATTCTCTCCCCTATACTCTGGCCCAGGGGCTCGGGGACCTGCGGAATGGAGATGGAGCAGCTCCCGGGATCCCTTAGGGAAAAGGAGGCTGCTCTGGGGCCCTTGGAAAACCTCCAACCTCAGCCCTGGCTCCTCCCTGAGACCTCCAGAGTTAGGTGTGGCCCAGGGTGGCCTGCAGGGCTGGCAAACGCTGCTGCCTGCAGTGAGGGGCACCTGCTGGGCTGCACTCTTTGGTCAGGGCTGCCCACGTTCCTCAATAGCCCTGAGCCAGTGAGCACCTCTGCCCAGCCATACACCTTAGATGCCTGTGTGCCTTTTGCCAGGATTTCTCTGTTCACCCAAGGCCTACCTGATTCCTGGCTGGCTCCACGTGGTAGGCCAAGGGACCACTGAGGCCCACTGCCACAGGGTGCATGTGGTGGTCCTTCCTGTTTGGGGTGTGATTTTAGAAAACATGGGTGGGGAGTGGGGAGGGCTTCATCCTGTGTTGGCTGTCCCTTAGCGCCTCTGGTCCTGCCTCTGGAGACGGCTACACTGAGAGCCTTTGTTGGCGGATTTCCCTGTGGGGCTCTGGCCCCGCTGAGCTGAGTCAAAACAGGCCGGGCCCAGATGGATGCAGCCTCACCCTCCCTTCTCCCAGCACCCCTTCCCCCTGGCCTAGCCTTGGATTCCAAAGGACTGTCCCTTCTTGGCAAGTAAATGGCTCTGTGTGGACTGGCCCCTCGGTGGCCACTGGCAAATTGTCCTCCTGGTTAGGTTCCAGGTGACCAGGGATCTCTAAGGGGTGACTTTTGAGGATGGTTTTTAGGGTGCCCTGAAAGTGCTGGGAAAGAGCCCTGGTGGCACAGTGGTTAAGCACTCGGCTGCTAACTGAAAGGTCAGTAGGTAGAACCCACTAGCTGCTCTGAGGGAGAAAGATGTGGTGGTCTGCTTCTGTAAAGATTTATAGCCTTGGAAATCCTATGGGGCAGTTCTACTCTGTCCTACAGGGTCGCTATGAGTCTGAATCAACTCCACAGCAATGAGTTTTGAAAGCGCTGGGCCCTTCTCAGAGAACACTGGCGTGGTGCCCAGCGGGGCTGTGAAGCCATTCCCAAGTGCCACTACCTTGCACTGTACCCATGGTCACTGGGGTGTGCTGATGCCACCTGCGTGGGGAGCATCTCCCCAGGTGGGGTCAGGGCAAGTTGCTGGGACAGGAGGTGTGTTCGGTTCAACTAGTTCTACACTGTGAGGTGGCAATGGGATTTGCCCTGATGCCACCCAATAAATGCCTGTTGCTTAATTACATCAGTGGTCTTCCTGGTGGGGTTGTGGGGGGTGGCCAGCTTCTCCTAAGTCTGATGGTGTTGCCAATGTGTTGTCAGGTGACAGGAGCACAGTGCCCTCAGTGTGATGGAAGGAAGGGTGGGCCAAGTGGCCAGGTGGTGGCTTGGAGGGAGCAACTGTGGCCAGTTAGCTTGAGCCCAGAGTCAGGGTTCAATCCCATATGGGCTGTCTTAGAGTTCTCTAGAGAAACAGAACCAGTGATATATATCTATGAAGAGAGAGAGAGCAAGATTTACTTCAGGGAATTGGCTCACGCAATTGTGGGTTACACAGTAGGCTGAAAACTTGTGCAGACTTGCGTCCCAAGATCCAGCAGTCAGGCGATGGAAAAAGTGCAAAGTGGAGAGAGAGCGAGTTCTGCCAAAATATTTAGTCTGGAGGCAGACTACACACTAAGGAAACTCTTTTCAACTGACTGATGACGTTGCATTAGATTACATTATGGAAGGTCATTACATTGTATTAGATTATAATATGGAACAGCAACTAGTCTAGTATTTGGCCAAACCACTGGGAACCAAAGCCTAGCCAATCTGATACAAAAAATTAACCATCACACGAGCCAGCTGACTTTTGGAGGGAAAAAAATGTATGTGTTGGCCTGTTTCAGACAATGTTTCTTAAAACACATCGACACCTCCCTGTCTAAGGGTCCTTTGACCAGGTCCATTGGTGTAGAGGATCTCAGAGCTGGGGAAGGGGGCTGAGGACTCTACCGTTTGGCAGATCCCTCCTCCCTGGCTCGCCTAGGTGCTGCTACTGACTTGTACAGGAGGAGCCTTGGCTGTGGGCAAAGCTGGCCCAGTCCCAGAGCCCATGAGTGACTGTGTCAGGAGCCAAGGGCAGTACCATAGTAGCCAGGCTGAACTCACAGAAGGGAAGGGGGCAGCTGTGTTTTACAGTCAAGGGGCAAGTAGGCTCTGTTGATGATTTTGAATGAATAGAGTGACTTACTCACAGTCACGGAGACAGTGGCAGAGTTAGCCTAGTACTGGCTACATGTCTTATCTACATGGTCTTATTAAACCTTGACAGTGACCCTACCAGGTAGCTATTATCTGCCTTTTATGGAAGGGCTTATAGAGAGCAGAGAAGTGAAATGACAAGCCTGAGGTCACACAGCTGGTAAGTAGGAGGGCCAGAGTTTGGACCTAGGTCTTTGGGTGCCCAGAGCTAACCCACTCCATCAGGTCCCCCAGCTTACCAGCTACTCCCTCTACCACTTTACCCCACTCCCCTAACCCTGGCGCCTCTGCCTCGCTTTTTTCTGGGGCAGTGGGGGTGCTCAGCCATGTCCACTTTGTTCCCTCTGCGCTCCCCTGACTCCAGACCTGGGCCTGGTGGCTCCCGAGGGTCCAGTGCCCGCCCGAGTGCCTGAAACCTCTTGGCAGGGTCATCACAGTAAGTCCCCGTGTCTGTGGTGGCACAGGGAGCCTCTTCATTTCCCTGCTGTGGCTGGGGGCCCAACCACAGCCTGGCCTTGGAGCGTGAACCATTTGACTGAGGCCGGACGTCCCTCCACCGCTGCCACGCACTGCTGGTCGGGCGTGCGTGCTATGGAAATGAGTGGCCACCTGTGTCACCTCCCAGTCCCCAGGCTGAACCGGACTTCCTGGGGGCCAGAAGAAGCGGCAGCGTGCAAATCCATCCTCTTCATGGAGCCACGTCTTCACTTTCATTAATTCATCCACCCATTCATCATCATTCCAGAAAGTTCTCTGGTTAGAGGCCAGTGTAGTAAATAATGACAGCTGCCATTATTTGAACATGGGCTGTGTGCCAGGCACTGTGCAGAATGCTTTAGATGTCATATCCTCAGTTCCTCACAGCAACTCCATAAGGTACATACTATTATTCCCATTTTACAGATGAGGAAACTGAGGCACAGATGGGTTAAGTAACTGGCAAACCAGTAGGAAATGACAAATTTCTGACAGCCAAGTCTTTGCTTGTAACCACTACTGCGCTGCCCCCCTGGAGCCGGATGGACCTGGGCTTGAATCCCAGTCTTAACCCTTCTTACCTGTGCCTTGACCTATCCGGGGCTCAGATTTGACATTTTTCAGGGAGCCGAGGATCAAATGAAATATATTTTTTATTTTTTTAGTTTTTGAGAATATACCCAGCAGAACATAAGCCAATTCAACAATTTCTACGCGTACAATTCAGTGACATTGATTACATTCGTCAAGTGGTGCAACCATCCTCACCTTTTCTAAGTTCCCACCCTATCAACATAAACTCACTGCCCCCTAAGTTTCCTATCCTTTTGAGTTGCTGTTGTCAATTTGATCTTAAAAGAGCATAATGCTCAAGGCAGACATTCTTTACAGGTTTGACTAAAGTATTGTTTAGTTTTAAAAAGACTTCAGGGAATATTTTTGGTTTAAGATTTAAGGATTATCTCAGGGCAGTAGTTTCAAGGGTTCATCCAGTGTCCATGGCTCCAGAAGACCTGAATTCCATGAGAATTTGAAATCTGTTGTGCATTTTCCCCCTTTTGATCAGGATTCTTCTATAGATTCTTAGATCCAAATGTTCAGTAATAGCTGGCAACATCCAGTTCTTATGGTCTCATAGCAAAGGAGGCCAATGTTCATGGAGGCAATTAGCCACACATTCCATTTCCTCCTATTCCTGACTCTTCCTCTGTTGCCCCAGATGAATAGAGACCAATTGCTGCACCTTGGAAATATTATTTTTTTGAAGCGCGAGTACTGGGCCCTGCACAAAATAAGGTGCTCAGGAAATGAGAACTTGTTATTTTCAACCACTCCCTCAACACATCTTTATCCTGGACTGTGTGTGTCCAGGCAGGAGGAAACGCCGGATTTTATTGCTCACCTATTATGGCCCAAGTACTTATTCTCTTGAACCACACCAGCCCTGTGAGGGAGGTGGTAATATTTTAGCCCCATTTCACAGATGAGGAAACTGAGGCTCAGGGAGGTGAAGAGAGACCTGCTTATTAAGGGCCAGAGGCAAGTGGGGAACTTGCTCCTGATGGCCACACCAGCACCCTTTGCACTAGTCACTTGAAGGGCAGCCTTCTGGGTGGTCAGCAGGGGATGGGAGGAGGCACAGCTGTTAAGGGTCTGGAAATTTGGGCTAATGTCATGGCTCCAAGCAAAACCAGTCAGCCTGCTCCTCCCCTTGCCCAGGTTGCTGGCTGCCACCCTGGATGGTGGAGCAGATACCAAGTGACCGTCAGGGGCCAGAGGTACGTCCGAATTCTATTACAGGCCTCTTTGCCATACCCTCCCTCCAGACCCCAGGTGCCAGGCAGTTACCCTCAGCCCCTGAGCATTTGGCACACGCCCTACCCTGGAGGCTGGAGAAAGTGAGGAAGCCATCG